ATAAATCACTGTTTAATTTAAATTCGACGACGGTACGCCAATGGCAGGCACTCTTGCAGTATAACACGTACCCTTTTCGAACAACCCCAGCCCCTTTATCCCTCATAAAAACGTTTTTCTTGCTTTATTCGTGAAATTGTGGCCAGTACGTACAGGTAAAGTACATTTATTTATATCAGTATAATATGTTCGACGTGTCCGTTTGGGGCGAAGAAATAATAATATAAAATAAAAGTTATTGCAGTCATTGAAAACAAGAATCGGTGGACCAATTCAATTAAAAAACGAATACGATATATTTTTTTTTTTTAATTTATATTTTTTTTTTGTACTCTATTACTCTATTACATTTTGAAGATAATCCTTCGTAGTACGTGAGTTTTAAATGGTCTAAGGATGCCTTACTGCCGCTGCTTCCTAGCGGTAGCCGTTATGTTTAATATAAAGTTTATAAGTAAACGCTGTCGCATTTTTGTTTTTTTTCCTCTCAAATGTAATTATATATTTTATTTATGTATATGTTCATGTATATGCCAGTGTGTTCAGAATGACTTTTAGGTTTATTTTTTATTATTTTTTTATAGAAATAATGTTTTATATGTATAATCTATGTACTTCTATTAATGATATAAGAACATTGACTTTTTTCTTTCGATTAAATCATCTATCTCGGGTATAATATGAAACTATAGTTATAAATGTACTTTATATATTTTAATTGTTTTGAATCGTATGCATATATTATAGTGAATACAAGAATTCTATAATTAAATTGACAACATTTTGTAGTAATTGTAATCCAATTTAATAGAATGCACATCAAACTCTACGTTAGTAATTATTTTGTGGTAAAAGTGAATTATCTTTATTACGCAGCTTACAACAATATATTATCTGAGAAACAAAACAAACCCATTCGTTGAAAATAATTTCTAAATTAATTTACATTGTAAATAGAAAATCTTGCGTTAATCATGTATTCTCAACAAACTTTAAATGCCCTCATATGTCCCCCGGAACTCTCCCGATTTGACTTTAGTTTTACATAAAATTATTCTCGTTTGTTTATACCCAAACATTTTTCAGTGTTATCAATCTTATTATTACGTCCTGAAAATGTTAAGCTAGAGCTTATATTAATACTTCATATTTGCAAAGAAAATGTATAGAACACGTCATTATTTCATCAGATACAAGTGAAAATTGTATAATAAATCTGAATTTATCTGTACATTTATTATTTAGAATAATATGTTCTACCTGCTTTATAAAAATTATATTTTTATGTTTTCAGTGAACATATCAAGGTATGCAATATTTGCATAACATTTATTTTCAGTTTGATATAATATTTTAAGTTTGAATTATGACGAATAAGAATATTTGTTTGAAAACTAAATGACTAATGACTATGTACATCGTACGCTATGGAATCTGAACGCCAATGGTTATTCCATATCACCGTTAAATCTAATATGAGTTCAATCAAAATCAAAAATTACTTAAAATGTTTTTCTTGAGAATGTTTAAGCTTTATTGTAATACAATAAATTATGTATAAAATTTAGCACTTACAAATAATATTGAATGAGGTAAATAATACGTTTTGTTAAACAATATAACATACGCTCACAAACACGAAAAAATTAAATATTTATGGTTAACGGCCTTAGAAAACGTATTTTATCACTATTCGTTGTTAATTCATACATGAATTATACAAGTGACTCAGAAGAGGTATTATGTAAACTTAAGTTTCTTGTACAACAATTTTATGTAACAAAGAATGTGAGTGAATTGTTAGAATCTTCTTGTGTTGATTTTTATTGTTTAGTTGGTTTTAATTTATTACAGAACAAGCAAAAGAGTAAATTTAAGATTTACACATTAAAATTTACATAATAACTATCGATAAATTATAGTAACATATATTATGTAACAGAAATGCTATTTGATTTTTATTTTATGCATTTATTTTATGTACTTTAACACGGTGAAGTGTTATTGTTCTGATTTTAAATGTATATGTTTAAACTATTACATACTTTTGTTACTTTTAGTTCCTTTGTAACTTACAACTGTATTAAGGGTCAACTGTCAAAAAAATGTCTGTTAATATTTTTGCCCTATTCTACGATGAAGTACGGATTTTTATTAAACTCTAGAGGTAAGAGTTCCATATACGTGTACCGTAATATAATAATGTGAGTATAATTATGTGGTGGAGTAATTATGGCACTAGGTGTTACAACAGAAATTTGTCTTGAATGTAATTAAACTATTTGAAATCAAGAACCGTAGCTTTACATTGTCTTCAAATATTTATTGTCATATATAAAACACATTGTTAATGTATTATATATCTCGTTTTAATTAAAATGAGCCTAAAATTATACAATTGTTCAATTGAAGGATTTGAAAGACATTTTTTCTAAACCTAAGGGAATATAAAAAAAATCACATTGATATCATGCATTTAAATTAATAAAAAAATGAAAATAATTTATACATTTATTTGTGTGAATGTTTGAGTATAACTGCGAAATTGTATCGTTTTCTTATTTTAACATAATGTAGTGGCACAACATTTTGGATTATTATTTACAATGCATGTACCTAATAGTCTAACCGTTGTTAATTGACTTGATAGAAAAAAATTAATAAATTAAAAATTCATAAGTTACCAAGAGTCTACCAAAATGTTTGGAACTATTTGATTGATAAAGTATATTAACACGATTCAAAAGCAATTTTAGTCATTGATTTGGAACGAAAAATTTCAAAAAGTAAAAACATAATATATCAAAATCGTGATTAACAGTAGGTTATATATAAAACGCATAGTTGAAGGACATGTTTTCCAAAACGATTAAAACAGAACTATCACACCACCGTTCATATCAGTGTTATTTCATAGAATAGATTTAACTGTATTATAGGTGAGACCGGATTTCAGCACAACCAAACGTGTTATCATAAGAGCGTTATAATCACATCACAACGTATTAATTCATTATACATACACTTAGTGTACTGATAAGGACATAACGAATTTATGATCGTACCGTAGTAGCTTACGCGTTAATCATTTCCTTTACTACTAAAAACGTTTCAAACGTGCGGTTCGGCTATGAACCACCACTGTTTACCGGTTTTGACATCGATTTGCCAAACGTATCCGATGTCTTTAGATTATCGCAGCAATAATCAAACTATGAACTCAGCACGAGGACACGCGCCAGTACGGTTTCTATAGTACCTTGTTTTGTTTCAATGCGCATTCGGACCAGTCCAATGTTGGTCAGCTCTTTACGGATTATATATAGCAATAAAGTTACTTACCTTCATTGTATATAAACCTATTAAAATATAATAAATAAATATTTAAGATCAAAAATAAATAAGCGATTTTTTTTGACATGCGCACGTGTACACCCATGCGGGGAGGTTTTACACATGGATATACATTTTGGGTTCTCGAACGGAAGTAGTTTACAATTTAAAAATAACGTTGAAGTTCTCGTACATGTCAACTTGCTTTTTAAAAATAGTCTTTCTCGTGTTACCTTTCATTATAGTTTTATTTTACAATACATATCCATTATGGTTTTAGGCCTTAACTAGAAATTGAGCTGTTAATAGCAGTGATCAGTCTCAAAAACTCAATAATTTTCTTTTCATTTATTCCCTAATTTTTATGATTTAATTTTTTCTAAATATCTCATTTTCATAATCGAAAATTACCCACAAACCACGATAGTATAGTAAAATACGAATTTAAAATATCATAAAGTATTTATAAAAAGTGTGTGCTGACGGCTTATCGAGTTATCCACGTATCGAAATTTGCTCTTAACTTTTTCCAATACTATGCCGATCAAAAGGATAGTTTCGATTATAAGACCAAATAAAATAATATTGGTATGCGATGTGAAACGTGGTTAGTTTTTCGTCACTATAGTTGAAAATTCCCTCAGCGTTGATATCATCTGAATGGATGATGATTTTCAAAATCCATGTATAGCAGAAAATAACATTTACGAGTATTTAGCATTATTAAAAAACAACGCATCATCTGCACTGTTGACCATCCACGACCGTAGATCTTACTTGGATCAATACAAAAAAAAAAGTATCTCAGAATGTTATATACCCGTATGCAGTGAAACCTCAGTATCCCGAAGTCACAAGAGACCAAAAAAAATTCGACATATCAAAACTTTGAGTTATCGAGGGAATTTAAAACATAAATAAAATTTGAATAAAAATGTTTAATTAATAGGAAAAATGTGTATTTATAATATATAATAATATATTTATATATTGTATACATATTATTAATATTCATAATTTGGGTATGTATACATTATTTTCAATGAAAGTAAAAAATCTGTCATTTTTGTTTGTTTTTATTGAGTTTTAGAAGTATTTTCAATAAAACACCTAAACTATTAAGTGCAAAAAAAATGTTGTCAGAAACTTCTGACTGTTCTTGAACGTATCTTCAAAGTTATTAAATATAAATCTGTGTAACTTTATCGCTGTTATCGGTCACAAGCTGAATAATAATCAAATATCAACGTTATTACAACATTGTGTGTACAAGCTCTTTTATCTTTATTTATCTCTATTTATTTTATGTTTTATACTGTGGGCATTTTATACTTTATTTAATCTGTCATATATTCGAGTTAGTGAATCGTAGTAGGCGGTGGGTACCAGATAATGACTTCGACTTATGGAAAAATTCTTCATATGGAAATTCGATATACCAAAATAACTTAACACGCAAGTCCAATACTGAATGATCGGGACCGAAAAAAAAATTCGACAAACACAAACTATGATATACCGAAGTTCCAGATAGCGAGGTTCCACTGTAATTGGTTTTACGATGACAATAACAAGCTGTTTTTGATAGTTGTTTTTCTTTTTTTTTTTTTAGAAACCTCGTAGACACGATTACTTAATCATGTACTAAATTATTACGATTTTCGCAGGATGTTGCCGGCGTACTATACGTTGAACGATGAGGAAAAAGATTACATCTGTTCGCAGAACGACGCCAACGGCATGCACTCGTGTTTCGACTTGCCACCCACGCGCGGTCACGACGCGTTGATATGCAACGCCACCGCCAACATGGCACTGGTCAACGGGTCGTGCGTGAACTGGAACCATTACTATACGGAGTGCAAATCACAGGGTGAGAACCCGTTCCAAGGGACCATATCGTTCGACAACATTGGCCTGGCTTGGGTGGCCATATTCGTTGTGAGTGTAAACGATTTAAAATAATATTTTTATTTAATTTTTTTTTTTTTTTGCGAATGCGACCGATGAGCACCTAACCCAACCGGGCATACTTTAATTAATTACCGCACGACAGGTGCTTGCATTTAAATGATCGAAAAGAACAATTTATCGACCGATTATTGATTGTAATTGTAATTGTAATATTAATCCGTCCTTCATGACATCGCACACAATTTTAAGTTGCAATTGTAATAGTTCTTTTTAACCAACAGTCACGTGGCCTTTTTTGTTGTATTTTTTGTTGAATTATTAATTTAAATGTAGTCTGAACTAATTTAAATTTTTTTACTGTAGGTCTCTTATCTAAATGAAAAATTAATTTTTAATCGTAATAAAAGGTGGGATTTTTTTTTTTATTATAATTATTATGAATGTAATTTTAATTAACTCGAATATTTAATTACTTAAAATCTCATATTATATTTTTAACTCATCGTGTCTGTAATAAAACGCGTCGGGATATGCACACATGTTATTAAATAAATTGTAGTAAACCACATTTTATAAACACACAGGGAAAAAAAACAGAGTAGAGTTTATTTCAAAAACATTATCCACTATTATACAATATTCAACACTTTGCAATACATATATTTTTTGCAAATTATTATTGCCATGGGTTTATTTCGCAATCAATTAATTACGATAAATTGTTGTGCGATAAATTAATTATGACGTAATTACGTAAAACTTTTCACCCACGCTAATACCGTACTTACTGAAAAAATGATCGAGTATTGATCGATGACAACAATTTATGTGGTGTGATTGGCGGATTTAATAAATCTCCCGGTAACTGCCCTTAGACGGTTAGATTCAGCTATAATATATGTTGAACTACCAAAACAGTCAGATTATTGGACGCTATTCATGTACAATTATTATAATGTAGTCAAACACGAGAACTTATGATAAAATTTAAAATAAATTTTAAAATAAAAAACGTTTCCCGTTGGCCGGTGTAACTCGTACGGAATATTAAAACTATACTCTTTGATTTATTATGAATGCCGAATGGGAAAATCGAAATCCGCGTTGAACATTCCGATTACCTACGAATAATTCAAACTGAAATGCTCCAATAGCCCAGTGCAACGTTACGATGCGCAAATATATTTACAAACCAAACGACGGTTTGGCTGATAAACACGCACGCGTTATTAGTGTAATATATTCCATCGAATATAGTTATTATAGTAACAAAAACTACAAATTAACATAATGTGCAATAACTGTGTACTCGATTGTTCGAATAACCCCCATTAATTACGACACCTTACAGCGACACTAGAAAACGCAAAAGCGTTCGCCCGTTTTGGGCCCCAATAAAAATCGACTGTGCATATTAACATGGAGCGACCGTCTAGTAAAAAACCTATTTTCGGTCGGTACGTTATACACTTACTTATTATTGTTATTGCATTGCTCGACGAAGTAACAAAACGGTCTTAAATTTTTCATCGTGTGTTTTATTTGTATGCTACAGAACCATGTCCACTGCGGTATTAAATGCGTTTTGTGACCAGTAAATGGTTCTTTTTTCTTATTATTTTTTGCTCCGAGAATACAAGGTAAATGTTATAAACTTATAAAAGAGATAACGAAGGTAATTTATTTTTGAGAAAAAATTTAATAACGTGTCAAAAGAATAAAAAAAAGCTTCTATACCAAAATAAAAAATGTTGAAGTATTTTAAGCTTAAAGTTCGTAAAAAAAAAAAAAAAAAAATACAATAATAATAATGATAATGATTTGTAGGTTGACTACTACTGAGAGTGATTTTTTGAATTATATATAAAAATAAATATACGATTGACGAGAGAGTAAAAAATTAATTCAAGAAAAAACAGAAAAAAGTATGTGCTTAAAAAATCTTTTGTGTCAAAAAAAAAAGTTTTATTTTGTTTTTTAGAGTAGGTATATGGATATTTTTCAACTATGTAACTAACGGGATCGATGAAAATGGGTTATGTCTAATAAATAAAAATGTTGCGATGATAATCACAATGAAATGATATAGTATATACTCATATTCTTTACATTTGTTGTCACCAACTGGCAATAAAACATTTTTGGAAATTACTTTTTATAGAAGTTCGAGCGTAATAGGTCACCTAGACTAAAATGATCACATTGGGAAAAATAGAGACTGAACTGAACCTCTAGATCACTTGGCTCTTATTAGCCAATTGTATAATTTGGTCTAATGTAGAAAACACATTTTTATCTTAATCAAATTAGCAATAAATACCGGTTTTGTTCTTATTTTTTTTTTCTTAAGTGTACCTATCAATATTTTAAACAAATAATTTAATCAAAAAAACCAAGATTTAGTGAAAAATTAATAAGCTTAATACGTATACCAGCTGTCTATTATGTATGAACAATTTAATAAAGTTACGATATTTACACGGTGAACGTTTATTTCTAATATATTAACTACCTATAAATTCCTAACAATAATTGTTAATACATTGTATTTATATTTATTTATATTTAAGTCAATGTATATAGTCGTGTTTGTAATACTCTGTCATCGATTTGAAAATTTATGTTCTTTTCGTGAATTATGCGACAGGCATGTAAAAAATTGAACACTTAGTATGATCACGTACAACGCTTTTCAGATTGAAATAATGATTGTTAGGAAATGTTTAATCGACCGACTATGAAGGTTAAGTCAATATTTTGTCACGATATATGATTATACTTTACTATATTTTGGAAATAACTTTAGAATGGTTATGACCAACCACACCGTGCATAATATGCTTAACGGTTGTCAAGTATATATTTGCCTTTGAAGAATGTCTAAAAATGTTTTCAAACCGAAATTCTACGATTAAAAAAATAAAAAATATAAATAAAAACGTACTAGCTGTGAACATTCGATTTATAGATGTATACGATAAGAATACAATAGCTGGTTAGGTTTGAGAATATACATAACAAACTTCTCGACGTTTGTACGATGATAAAAAAATGTACACCACACTCACACACACACACACACACACATATATATATATATATGTGTAATGATTTAAAAATTGAAGTATTAATATATTAATTTATGAGTGAAGTATTTATTTGTTTTTTTTAAATCATTACTTATTATATTATAAATTTTAATATTACCTCTCCGATGATTGTGTCGGTCTGCCTCTTGACAACTGCAGTTGACTCTTCAGGTATGGAATAAGGTGACCAATTTATATTTTAGAATGACAATAAAATTCTTTTTTAACACACTTATATTGATTTTATTTAAATTACTTATACACACATTAATAAACTTATTTTAGACTTTTACAGAACGTTTTACAATTAATTATGTCTTTCTGCATAGACGATCTGCGTAGTCTTTTACACTCGTCTGTGGCCGTTTGTACAAAAGGACATCAAGAACGCGTCTTCCTTGTGTTTGAAAATGTTGCTCCTTATATTTAATGTCACCTGTGCGTGTGCGCGTGTGTTTGTGTCATATTTTATCGTTAGTACTTATGACTTATTCTTATATTTAATGTGTACTGATTATTATAACTATTTAATTGTACATTCAATTTTTTTAAAAATATATGAATGCTTAGGCGCATAACATTACATATATGACGCTTATACCGCACTTTTTTAATCATGATGTAAGATTTAATTCGTCAAAAGTTTCATGGACCTGTATAAGGTGAAGGTAGTGTACACTTCCTTTAATATTTTATGTATCTACTACAAGTGACAGGTATTATAACTGTTGTATCCTCTCTTTGAATTATTGTATGACTTACGCGTACGAAGATGTAGAAAACATATTATATTGCATTCTTATTCTTAAGTACCTAGTTAATATTGATACTATAATATTTAGAAATTGAAATATTAAATATAAAACAAAATAATACAATGTCGATATGGATTTTGAGTATATTCGGTTCATTCAAAATATAAAATGTCAAATTGTTGAAATAACTGTTAAGTCATATCGCTCACCAATTCCGTTAAATATTTTATATTCATTTTGTTAATAAATAATAATAATTTAATGGTCGAATTCCTCCATAACTCAAAAATTCTCAGCCAGTAACATTATATATATTAAGTATTTTTAATAATAATATATCTTATATGTATATAATTATGTATATATCATGTAGATAACCTATATTTTAATATTGTCAAATGGCCTCTGAAGCCAAGGATTTTATTTAATAAAAAAATAAAAAAATGATCGACTATCAACATGAACATTGCATCATTAAAGATTTTTTTCCTTTTAAATAATTAGAGTAAATCATTTTTGTATATTTAAAATTAACTTATTCTTCTTTGCATTATTTTTTTTAATTTTTTTATTTGTGTTCATGATGATAAATTGAAAAAAAAAACTATTTGGAATACTTGGTTGTTTTAAATATAAAATATACATATATCACAAAATAAAGCTTAATCCAATAATCAATCAATGGCTTGTATTAAGTACATTTCAATCGTGTTTATTTTTATCATCTTTGATTATTCATTAATAGCATTTCTAAATTAAGTTTAAATTATTAAAAATTAAAATGCTAAGAACTTTCCCATATAATCATAAAATTATTGAATTTAGAAGTTTGATTGATTATTATTATTTTATTATTGCTTATTATTATTATTTCAACTAAATAATTCAGTTATGATGTTATATGAAATATGCATCATGATTTTCTAACCAGATTTTTTTTAATTCATTGGATAACAATTATTAACCTAATGTCCATCATTCAAGCAATTTCCATCAAAACTGGGTAAAATTTAATGGATATATTTGAAATTTTATGATTATTAATATTTTTTTTTTCACTTAATACATTTAATTATAGTTGTTTTTTATGTAATATTATTATAATTTAATTTTTGTTCATAAGCACATATTTTTAAGAATCTAGATAAAATAGACGAAAAAATATGCCAAAAACTTAATTATA